CAGATCCGGCCTGTTTGAAATGAATAAAACTAAAAAAAAAAAAAAAAAAAAGACCGTACCCTTTTATGTAATGATGTTTTCTTTGAATTTATATTAGTTCACACAAACGCTCCATCCATGCTTTTGTTCCGGCCCTCCGGTCCAGTTTAAGAACCCATTGTGGCCCTCGAGTCAAAAAGTTTGCCCACCCCTGTATAGACCAAGGTTTAGAGTTTGATTCCTGATCAGAGCACATATAAGAATCAATCAATGAATGCATAAATAAGTGGAACAACAAATCAATGTTTCTCTCCCTCTACTCTCCCTCCCCCTTCTTCTCCTTCTCTCTAAAATCTACAAAAATACATGTAATACATATTTATTTATACAGATGTATTTATATGCCACTTTTTTAACTGCCACTGCTTTGCACGTGACAGACACATGTGCATAGACAGACTGCCTGTTGGGTATCCAGCCTAAGAGATGATCACCCTGCAGTGGTCAATCCTACTTCCTTCTCCACAGCTTCCCACAGGCTGAAGAATTTACGTATCTGCCCACAGCAAATGTACTGAGGGTTTTACACTAACACACAGCCCACAGGAATCAAGCAGAAAGGGACAGATCAGAATGTGTCTGAACAGATCCAGTTCATGAGTTTTGTTCATGGCTGTTCTCGTTCTGTATCCGTTTACAGTCCAAGCACGTTGACCACTGCTTACTTTTTTATTTGATACAGTCCTTGCATTTTCATGCCTGCCTGTCCATTAAGTAAATAGTACATGTTTTCCATTTGCCAATGTTTTTCAAACGGTTTCTATCTCCTGGAGGGCTTGTTAAGCTAGATTTTGGGGCTCTACCCCCAGGGATCCCAATTCAATAGGTTTGAGATGGGGCCAGAGAATTTGCTTTTCCAACAAGTTCACAGGTGATGCTGCTGTTGCTAGTCAAGGAATTGCAAAACTAATATGCCAGTTTTCCACAGCCAATGCAATTTGAAGAGAAATGAAACAATAAATTAATTTTTAAATTTGCTAGAGTAGACAGAAAAAACATGATAAAAGTAGGATATGTTCATTATACAAGAATAACCAGGGTAATTGGGATGGGCAGTCATGTTTTCGAATAAAATAAGAGATTATTTGCCATGACATTCTACATCATTTTGGTTTTGAAAAGCTGACCCTAACAATATTTACAGGCAAGCATAAAGTCTCCTTCTATTCAAATGTAGTTGATGACAAAAAGGACACGAAACTAATTTTGCATTTCAAGACATTCTAGGTGGTTGTCACACATACTGGCATAGAGCAAGACTGATCCTTTAAGAGAATAAAAAGTAAGTTGAGTCCATAGTTCTTAGTGAAGAAGCTGTCTTTAATTTCTTGATTTCTGAATTTTTGTGAACCACATGCCCTTCTCTGAGCAAACACTGGGGCAATGTTTGGAGTCTATTACTTTCTCACTTACAGTTCTGTACTATTCAATTTTATTTATTTATTGACTACTAGAGGCCTGGTGCACAACCTTCGTGCACTGGGGGAGAAGGGTCCCTCAGCCTGGCCTGTGCCCTCTCGCAGTCTGGGACCCCTCAAGGGATGGTAACTGACTGCTTAGGCCCGCTCCCCACCTAAATTGGACGTCCCCCAAGGGGTCCTTAGTGCCACCGCTGTGTTCACCAGCCACGAACCCAGCTTCTGGCTGAGCGGCACTCTCTCTGTAGAAGCACACTGACCACCAGGGGGTAGCTCCTGCATTGAGCGCCTGCCCCCTGGTGGTCAATGCGCATCATAGCAATCGTTTGTTCCGCTGTTCAGTCAATTTGTATATTAGCCTTTTATTATATAGGATGATCCGATACTACTTTTAAATTGAAAATAAATGAGACAAGAATTTTTTAATCCTATTTTTAGTAAATACTAAAGCAATGTCATAAAGTGAAATGAAGGGAAGAACATATTAATCTCAAAGAAGTTACTGGGGTCTCCAAAGGACATGGTTAAAAGGCAATTGTCCTACAGCAAAAGCTTGAGAGAGGGATTGTAAGTTTGTCTGAGCATGTGGTTGGTTGGATGGTTAGCCACTACATAGAGATTTCCCATTAGAAGTATAGTTTAGCAAAGCAAAGGTTGAGAAGATGGTTTTTGTTCATTTAGGATTTTGCCCCCAAATTTAAAATTAGAAAAAGGGGCCAAGATAAAATTACATTTCTGTTCTGTGAAAAGTAATAAAAGAACTCATTGACAGGAATGTTATTTCACTAAAGTTTGAATGTTATTGTGTTTTACATAAGTATTTGGTGTATAGAAAACCGGAGTGCCAATTCATGAGAAAGACAAAAGGTGACCCAGCGATTCCACTTCTGGGTATATATCCAAAGAAACCTAAAACACTAATTCAAAAGAATCTGTGTACCCCTATGTCATTGCAGGGTTGTGTACAATAGCCAAGGTATGGGAACAACCCAAGTGCCCATTAATAGACAAGTGGATAAAAAGCAGTGGTACATCCTATATAATAAAGAGCTAGTATGCAAATGGTCATCACACCCTCGCGCCCTTGCGCCCTCGTGCCAGGGACAGGGGACCTGAGGCCAGGCCAGGTGACCTGAGGCTGCACCCCCTGCCCCGGCACCAGGGCTGAGGAACCTGAGGCCGGGCTTGGGGACCTGAGGCTGCACCCCTCGCCCTGCGGGGCTTGACGGGCATGGGGCCGGCCGGGTATGGGTCTCACATGATTTAGAGGTGTGAGCAGGTGGGTGGAGACTTGACTCTGGGTCCCGCGGCGCGCCCCAGACTCTGACAGGAGGGAGATTTTCATATACATTTTAATAATTTTCTTTCATCTCTGACACTTCTGTTATAGAGAATGGGCAAATAGCAATATTAAAATATTTCCTCTAATTAATTCCCTTTTAATGTGCACAAATTTTTTGCACTGGGCCTCTAGTATATATATAATGGAATATTACTTGGGAGTAAAATGGAATAAAATCTTTCTTTAGTGAAATAAGTCAGTCAGAGAAAGACAAATACCATATGATTTCACTTACATGTGGACTCTAAAGAACAAAATAAATGAATAAACAATTGAAAAGACTCAGATACAGAGAACAGACTAATGGTTGCCAGAGGGGAGAGGGGTTAGGGGAATGGGTGAAAAAGGTGAAAGGGATTAAGAAGTACATATTGGTAGTTACAAAACAGTCATGGGGATGTAAAGTACAGCATAGGGAATATAGTCAATAACACTGAAATAAATATGTATGGTGCCAGGTGGGTACTGGAATTATTTGAGGGTGGAGGTAGGGAATAGATGGTTCCTTTGTAAAATAGATGGTTATCTAACCACTATGCTGTACACCTGAAACGAAATACAAAACAATATTGAATGTAAATTGTAATTTGAAAAAAAAAAGCCAAAGGGGAAAATGATTTAAAAATATTATGAAAGGAATCAACGAGGTTTACCAAGGCTTCCCCTTAGGCTTAGAGCAAGGATTCCAATTCCTCTTCAGAGAATTAGTATCCGCTCCAACACACCTGGGCTGCTCATGATGTGATTTAATTTATTTCCCCCCCCCCCCCCCCCCCCCACACACACACTTCCTAAGAAAAATGAGAGCCTGTATTTCCTCCTGAACTCCAACTAAGCCTTCACTGCATAACTCCACAAGACAGAATCCTGGCAAATTAAGTGGTAGGTAAACATAGGAACAGGATACAGAGTAAGTAAACATGGACAGGATACAGCTCTCTTGCAAAAGCCAGTATTTAACAAATGTTATGCCTAATGAAGCACATGCATCTGTTTTTCATAATTTTCTGTTTTGTTTTAATACAAGACCACCAGAAATTTTTATCGTGGCAAACATTTATTCATTTTTTACATTAGCATTTCATTGAGTTGCCATGTTCTATTTTATTTCCTTTAGTCTTAAAATGGTACTTTTGTCACAACACTACAAAGTAAAAAAAAAAAAAAGGCTGCGCTAAGTTTCTCAGTAGTAAAGAGGGTCAGCTTTGAAAAGAGACTGTTGTTGCTATGTTGGAAGAAAACGCTTGTATGCATTTATAAAGCACTGAAGTACTAGGTAAAATAGGGCTTGCTTCTGATTTCTTTTGTTTTCTTCGCCATTAAGCTTACTCTGGGTTTGAAACAGGGTTTGCTCTGCAGATCATGACGCGTGCGGTGATCATGAACAACTAAAGTGATTCTAGAAATGCCTAGGGAAAAACGTCTAATGATGCTTGTGCATCTATTTAGGTTGTTGCTTTTTAAAGCTCCGAAAAGTCTGTCGCACCAGGTGTTCCTCATTTCCACTGGAGGCCTTGGAGCGTCCCACCAGGTTTCCACCTGTCTCCTTTCCCCCTCCGGCTCTCAAGTTTCCCTTCTCAGAGGTGTAGGCAGCATTCCTCCGAGAGCGGATTCCTCCACTGGCTTTTCCAGGCTGCCCGGCCCCACGTGACGCCCCCTAACACCTGTACCAGCTCAGCTCACAGCGCCCCCATCCCCACCGCCAGGTACAGACCCTGCCCGGCTCCCGGGCTCCCCCTGCCCTAGGAGGTCTCGATCTTAGTGCGAGCCTCGCTCGGGCCGGCAGGGGAGGGGCTGAGCTCCGGCCAAAGCAGCCGCTCGATCCCCAGCAGCCTGATTATCACATGACTCGACGGCGGCGGTAGCCGTGGCAGCAGCGGCGCCGGCTCCGCGGGCTCGCCCGGTGGGCTCAGTTCCGCTCACGCAG